AATCAATTTTTTATGTATAACTTTATAGAAAAAAATATTCCATCTGATGAAATCAAAAAACTGCCTGCCTGAAATATACGGAACCAGTACTTGTACGCATCCCTGTGTCATAAAAATTATACAATAATTCACTCAGTTACATAGTATACTTTTGATATTGCTACTTGGCTCAAAATGAATAAGTAGGCAGTTATGCAGAAATGCAAAAGACGAAAAAAATGGAATATTTAATCCATTATTTTACAGTAAGTACTTTTTAAATGTTCTAAATTTGAGTAAATAGTATTAAAATATATCAAGACTTGATTTCACATGCACAATTGAAAGGTTACGATCATACTATACAGTACTATGGCTAACCTAGCAAATATCACATGATTAGAATGTATCCAAATATGATCAATCATAATCTGGCCACAATTTAATAATAAAGACTCGTATAATGTAGATTATTTGATTTCAATAGCAAAGTTACGGTTCTCTGGCAAAGCGTAATAACAACTATTGATTAATGAGTTCAACTGCATACGAACTATTTTCAATAGTAATATTAGCTTTTGATCATTGCGCTATCATAAAGTATTAGTAAATTATTGGTAGCTGTCAAAGTTCGGATATCAAATTTACATAGGATAAATCATGATCCAAAGGATTGTAGGTATCAAAGCATTTATTATTTACACCATAGTCTGCCTCTAATCAAACTCGTCTTGTCTATTATTTTAGTTACCATATCTGAACTTAGGACATATTACAACTAAAAATTATTAGGATTCGCCGTAATTACCTGCTTTTGCAAGAGTAAAATGATTAAAGAGTCTGTTGCTTAACTCTTTTGAAAAAGGATGCATGTACTGTAGTGTTACTGTATGTTAATACGAATTAGTAGAGAACAAAGCGCAATTGGTTAGCTTAGACTAGCTAAAAGATTGCGTTCTATTGCATTACATGATTGCTGTATTTACGGGTACAAGCAGCTAGATTCTGTATAGAAAATAATTCAATTGCAGTATCGCAAACAGGACTATCAATAAAGTCACATTACTCTTACGAAACAACAAGCACAGCTATAGCGATTGAAATTGGTGGATAAAGAATCGGCAATAATCCTATCCGATACTGTTACATCATGCTCATATTTCTTAAATTGGCATCATAAATCACCAACCGGATGTCACTTTCACAAAATCATAGTCTATTTATTACCCGAAAGTATCAGCCAACCTTAAAGTAGTATAACTAATTCATATTTCATAGTAGTACGGAAATCTATTCTATTGCAAATGGCAAAGTAAATATACAAATTTTAATTATTCTAAATGGACGTTGCAATAATTATAGTGGCATTAAGAACGTAAAGAGTTAGAATCAACTGCAGCTGCAATACTTCAAAAAAGAATGATATAAAATTAAACGTAATACCTCACCTAATAGTCCAAAGTAGTTTACGCCCTGTTGATACACTGTAACAGAAACTTTACTCAGAGAAATATCTCAATTGTGAACCATAAATATTTGAAAAATAGAAGAATAACCGTGAACTCAGATCATCGATACAGAAAGTTAAACACCGAAGTTATCTAACTTTTTCAATATTATGCATAAATAGAACACACTTAAGTTTCTTTAACTGTGATAATTACTAGTATCAATCATGCTAGAAAAAACAGATATAGCATGCAAAAGCAGTAACAGAAGTCAAAGTTAAAACATGTACAAGCGAAGTGACTTTATATTGCTATTATAAGATCTATTGCCAGTAATAACTACTATATAAGGCAGCGAAGAATCTCTCTCATGACAGCCCGATATAATCCATTTTTATAATTCAGTACGAACAGAAATAAATGATTCTCTGCTGAACTTGTTCTATACACGTATTCGTACTATAGCTATTGTACACGCTTCCGTTTTGTATTCAGCTACTAACTCAGACCCCATTCTCGTAGCATTTATATTATAAATTTATTTCAGCATAATGATAGAGTACCTGTCTTGGTTGATAAATTGTACACTGAAATTTAGAGCCTAGATTCTGTTATAGTTTTATCTATTTATCCCATAGTTTTGCTTTGTACGGCACATCGCTAATTTATTGCAATGCATATGAAAATAAACATGACAGCGATGAAAATCATTTCGTCATATTGATCTTGCATACCACACCTAGCTGGGCGTTGCTAATCAATTACATTATACACATATTCCCGCTATAGAATATAACTGACATGGATTTAGTTCAATTTAATTAAACATAACTATCAAGACAATTTTATGAATATCTTAAAGTAATCTAAAGTACTACTTAATGCTCCTTAATCTTAGAATTACTTTATTTTTATTGATTAAACTCTACATTTGTACTCAGATATGTGATTTATCATATAAGCCTCAATGGACAAGTTTAGATTCAAGCTTTAAAGTTATAGCGAATAAATAATAGACTGTTGATAACAAATTCTAATCTAGAGTACTATTTAATGCTCCTTAATCTTGATATTATTCTATTTTGATTGATTAAACTCTACATTCGTACTTAGATATGTGGCTTATCGTATCAATTTCAGTGGATAAGCTTAGATTCAAGCTTTAAAGTTGTTGCGAATATGTAATAGACTGTTGATAACAAATGGTAATCTAGAGTACGGAAATTATTTCTAAAAATGGCTCCTCATAAAGTCGCTATAAAAATCAGTTTATCGTCATTTTAGAAATCATCCCAAGACGAAAGATCAGTACGGTAGGTTAAAAATCATTTGTTCTACTCACAGCCGGAGATGGCAATCATCTTATTATAATGAGCAAGAGATAATCAATTTTTCTATTTGATCATAATTGGAATCAATTAGGAAGAGAGTGTCAACTTAAAAGTTAAACAAGTGTTGTATTTAGAAAGATATTATTAGCCGATTTACTGACTGTATCAAATAACTACATTCTGCTCCAGATATTATCCAAATTGTTATGTATGATAGACTGGTAATGCCTAGGAATTAGGGCAGATAAATTGCATAGCTGCCTAACTGATAAGATAACCGTAAGATACTAATATCGTAACTGTATTGGTACGTTCACTAGTAATTTACTAATACGTATGTAATATATATATCACTTGTGGGAAAGGCAACCCACAATAAAGAAGTGGACTCCACGCATCAGGCTACTTTGCTATGTCTAACCGAGCATTGCATGATTGACCTAGGGTCGCGATAGAGAACATAACGCAAATGACTTTCCCTCTCAATATAAAACTATTTCGGCTGTGATGAGTATATCAATACCATCCTATCGAGTAACCAGTCTAAATAAAACTTTAAAATATTTCAATGGCCAGTAACAACTTGCTAAAATAAAATTTAATGTTATATTATTTGTTAGTGTAGACGAATGCCTAATCAGCATTTTCTGATAATGCAACAGAGCCTGCTAAGGCAAATTATACTGTTTAATATATAAAAAAGTTGGTAGACATCTTATTATTATTTTAAAATCGTCTCAAAGTAGGTAAATATTCATTTTAGTAGCCATCTTTTCAATTATGATAACAATAGCAACTCTCGAACAAAATAGTTGTTGTATATCAATTTCCTTTCTATTGGGCCACTCTTTAGGTGTAAAGGTTTAAGAAAGTAAATGTCAATTTGTATAAACGATCAAATTTATCTGTCATCAATGAAGGAAAAATATTGAATTCAAGCTCAATCGATGTCTAGTCAATCGATAATCTATATAATGACTGATTAGTGAGGATTGATTGTTTGATAAGAAATGATTTATTTGTTAATAGCTTAAACTAATATTAGAATATTTTACTCTATTGCTACAAATGAAGGCATAGGCAGTCTGTCTAATTCTATGTAGTGATTAAACTTTTTTTTTATCAACACACTAATAAGTAAAATACAAAACAAGTGTTTAAGGTTTTAGGGGGAAGATGTATCATGAGAATAATTAATCGTCTGATCAAAATTATCATTGTTGAAATCAATAACAACACATAGCTATTGATCCGTTGATTTGATCGATAGTACTATCTATACTTTTTGGAAAATTTTCCCTCTCTATCTATCTTCTGTTATTCATAAATAGATCTTTTTGTCCTACTGTGATCACTCTTTAGTAAGGTTATCTTTTTAAACTAGATCTAAACGATGACATTTTAAAATCAAGGAAAAATAATCAATGATACTAATTGATTGAATAGAATATACACAGCGGCATATCTCTATACACATTAATCGATCGACATGAGGCCAAAGTGAGCAAATATCTCTGCATGATGATCTGATCAAAATTAGAAATAACAAAAACAATTAAAATATAAAAAGCAACCACAGCAATTCTAATCAATATGCGAATTTTAGGAGGTGTTGACTTCTTAATTGGCCATTAGACTGATTATTGAAAAGCGATCAAAACTGTTGCCTCAACGTCTATCGATTGATGATAGACAATAACTGCTATTGAACAAATTGCATTGTTTAAACTTTTTCTAACCTGTTTAACAACAACCGATTAAATAATTACTATTTACCGCATTGAAATTTGTCAATACTGTATTAACGTCACAGCTTGAATTACTTTCAATTGATTTGAATGAATACAATCCCATAGTTGATTGCAAGCTAAGCTAGAGCACTATCGTTAGCATCCTGTCAATCATTATTGGTTTATTTGCACCCCTCGTCTATACTTTTTAGAATAGACTATTTTATTCAGCCAGGATATAAAAAAAGAATAAAACTAAATTGTCAAGATGAATAAATAGCTGTAGACAGAGAGGAGGGGAATTAGATGCAGTAAGAGGAGCATAAGAAGACAAATAGTAGCTTTACAACGACGAGCAACGCAACAAGAGAGCTAATTTTTGATTTGCTTAAGCTGAAATAATCTGCCTCTCTTACTCCTTCTTTACCCTTAATTTTTTTTTTGGCTGGCCAGCTGACATTAGTAGATGATTATCTCCTTTGATAATTATTAGCAGATTCTCTATTAGCAATATGACACAACTATACCTTGGTAATTTAAGATCCGAATTTACTATTCCACAACACGACGATACTCGTAGAAATCAACTTAATCAGGCCTTACGCGATTCAACAATGAAAAAAGATATCAATTTTGTCGATTTTGGAGATACCATCCATCTGAGATCACCGCTAACCAACACAGATGGTAAGAAAGCAAAATTTTAAAAATATAATTCGGATAATAATATTAACATACGCGTAATTAACACATTCAACTGTTAACCGCAACTGCCACTAAAAAAATGATGTTGAACTTTTCCTTATTTATGTTAGCGTAAACAGTAATTGTAGTCGATATCATTGAAACAATTCATCCGCTTTAAGGCTTATATATTTATTATTTTTCCTATCGCCGACCCGACCATCTTCGTTGTCTGTATCTTTCTCACAAAACATAATAGTGATAGTTATAGCATCGATCATCAGATCATTTAAAGGAGTATAATATCATCTAAGTGTAAAGTAAGTTAAATACAGGCATGACTAAGATCAAACAATACAGTAAAATCCTTAATAGCCAAGTAATAAATGGCAATGTATCACATCTAAAAGGTAACAGTTTAGCTAAATCAATACAAAGACGGTTATAGAAAGGTGATCAAGTAGAATCAGCAAGAACAAATTAGAATTAATCGATATCTTTTTCAATTAATCATCTCACACTAAGTAAAGAAACATAGGACTTGACTACAGAGCGTGGTTAACCCGAACCAGTAAAATTTATTCAAACAGTGCAGTCAATTTTTTCATTTCTTTCCTGTTAATGTAAACTATATCATTTAGATATATAGCTAACATTGGCAAAACGATACTAGTTTTGGAAATAATTACATACAGTATTTCATCTAGATTGAATATATAGCTTATCCATCTTTTTTCCTCATCAATCGGTAATTCATTGTCCAAGTGGCATCATTTGTAAATATAATTGATAAACTCCCCTTCAATCAATTCTATAAATTGCTCCCGTAATAATAACAAAGCGCTATCATGAAAACGTTTCCATTAACCCCTACTGCTACGGCCACCTTAACGAAAAGATAAGCTTTCCTCTCCAGTAGTAATTATCTTTCGCTGCTAAATTGTTTAATTGATCGTAATTATCACCCCGCTATCCACTAGCCATTAAAAATGTAAAGAAAAATCATCTACAAACATATTTTAAGTTCTGCTACCGATAATAATCAATGTAACTTGAACTGTGCGCTTTGCGTATATTCAGTCCACCAGTTGAAAAGAATATACGAGACTCCTATATCAACCAATTTTATCATCAAACTTATGCTAGGCTGGGTCATTGAGGAGTTAACAATAAGAACTTGGTAAACATTTCCATCAAGATTTTTCAACTCTTCAATAGATCTTTTTAACTTTTTCTCAATATTGGATAGCAAAATTTGCTAATACTTTAGATCAAATTGTCAAGATTATCGCGATAAACGAGTATCAAAAAAATTTCCTCTATTACTGACTTTGCCGTTATTATCTCTTCGTTGATATTCTAAAAATAAGAAATAGGATAGTCATCTTCCGACTAACTTATGCTGTATCCTCTTAACAGTAGTGACGAGATATATTGAACTTCCCGTGATTACTTGAAAACTGTCAATCTTGGTTTACTTTTTTATCGCAAGCTAGTTAAATAACATCCTTTAAAAGAATCTCTTTAATGACAAGCGCATGGATTTAAATATTTTTCTTTACCTTGCGTAATCAATCTAATGTCCTATAGTTCGATATTGATTTTATGTAGTACCGTGTTAAATCCTCTTCTGATTTTAATAAAACGATGAGCAAATACTCTCCTACTCCATTAATCCTCACTTAGTTTCGAATATAACTATTTCAAAGCTTTTATCCACCTACCTAATGTCATGATACTAAATCTTTTACGCTTATTGCGAAACGTTCAATTTATCTAGATTATATTTTACCCATATATTTTTTTATAGACGTGAGCACTTACTATCGAAGGCTTACATAGTTTCACCTTATTCCAATTACGATAGTTCTCTATAGCCATCCATTATCCCAGGTTATATCATTTAGAATTATTCAACATTATGTAAAGCTGCAAGCATACAAATATTATGTCTAAGCATCGGCTAGCTACCAAACTCCTACTTTTTCTTTATTAACCATTTCTAGTTTACTGAATAGGTTAATCGTTATGGTCGTAGATATTGTTCCGCCCTCGATGAATATAAGAAAAATTTTTATTTGGAGATTTACTAGACAATTAAATATTTGATTAGATATGCTAGATCTTCACGTTCACACTCTTAAAATCTATTTCTGTCTTCTAAACGCTTTAGGTGTCCCTCGTAGAATACAATTAGCGAAGTTTTCCGTATTGATTAGTTCTAAGATTACAAATTTGCAGTTTTATCTTGCAAGTCATTTTAAAAATTGACTATTATTACGGTTATTTCTTATCCCCTTCAAAAGTATTTTAATTAATTAATTAATTAACGCACGTCAGTTTAAATTGTATCAATAATATCGATGTATTTAATTTCGTAAATTGGTTCAAATTTCTAAAAGAATGAAAGGGAAATAAAACTCAACATCATTTTAGTTTAATTGCCGAGATAATTTCGCCAATTTTATGCTTGTATTCAGTTGCAGCTGACTAATAATAAATACTAACCTATGCAATTGGAGTTACATTATCACTAATTCATTTGATCACAGTCACAACATTTCTCCCTTGTACATGAAATCAATAAGCAATCCAACGATACTGAAATTTTTTTAATTATCAATAACATCCATTTCAAAAATTTCAAAATGGATGTCTCTATGAGATTTCTCTATTTCAAGATCGTAGTAATAACAAGTATCACTACTAGCTAAGTTTTACTGTATTGCATTAACGGCGAAGTTATTAAATGCGTTATTTAAAAGCTATAGCAACGTCATGAATTCTATATCCTTATCAACAATATAAAATATTTTATGGACTACCAAAATTCACAAATTAGAAGTATATGTTAATTTTTAATGGACAGGGTTTCCTTTATTTATCACTGTCCACTTTTTCCCTCTCATTATCAACATGGAACCGCATTTGATTATTACAATACATCAATTCTATAATCTATCTTCATTAGGTTAACTAATTTTTGCATTGTGTTTAATAGATACACACGGAACAGACGAATTTGGAGAACTAGTCAAAGATGCCAGTAACCAGCAAACAATCCTAAACAGGTTAGGGGACTTTAACTATTGAATCAATCATGACAGGAGTGCTAAACACATATCAACATGCATAATAAAATTTCTCCGATGTATCTTAACAATTACTTTGTTAACTGATTCATTATTTCAACATCGGATGATTTCTTCGGTTACAAAGTTATTTGATTTCCTAATCTCAATTCTCATGATAATAACAATAATGATTGTTGGATAAAGAAGCAAATAACCATAAGATCGCTTATTTGTTACAATACAGTCAGGGTTGAACTACCTTAAATTAGGTTAATCAATTAGATTCCTGACATACTCCAATCTGCTCAATCTAAGAACCCCTATCGTCAATAACAACCGATTATTGAGTAGCACCTTTTTTAATTGCCGTGTTTTGAAATAAAATTAAATGAAATCATTCTTTCCATTGAATCCTACCATTTGAATAAAGACTATTCCATCAAACCCAACATGCAATCGAATCAATTTCTTTCATCTAAAGTTAACCACATACTATTAAGAAATTGAACAGGACAATATATTAATAATAAACATAAATTGACTGTTGTTAGAGTTTATTATGATAAGATACATTGAAATCATCTGATGTATATCCCATCCTCTTAAGTTGAATGCACACCTCCTCAATCTGTTAGGACATATTTAGATCTAGATAAAGATTCAAACTGATTTTTATCATCATTCCATCGCGATATTAACACAGTTGCAATCACAAGTTTTAATTTACTAATAAATCTTATAATGTAATAGAAATCTTTTATATTTAGAAAGATAATTAAATTGCATTTAGTTTTCTCAAGGAAAAATTTTGCATTTGTTCATGGAGGTTTTACTGGATCGAAACACTATACTATATGAATATAACGGAAAGTAATAACTATTAACGTACTGACAACAATAAATTGATGATTATTATATGAAAAACTGATCATGTCAATCTTAGTCCAAGATTGTTTTTAATCAATAGTTCTATCAGATGAATGATTTTATTACCGTTAGTATTCTATAGTCCACTAAAGGTCTAGCGATAAGCTGGAACTACTAACAAGTTACGTAGCAGGGCAAGACTAGGTTTAATTTAAAAAAATTAAGCAATTGTGATCTTGATCACGTTGTGATTGCCAATCAATAAATGTTTTTTATGGCACAAAATTAAAAGCTACACAAATGCACTGTAATCATGTTCATGATAGTATTATTTATATATTGATTAGGGAAAAGCAATTTCAATTCTTTCACAACTACATTGTAATAAGAAGCAGCATTAGTAAATTAAAAGACAATAACCAAAAATGAAGTAAAGCTATTACTAGTGACTATTGTTTCGTGATAATATTGATTGTAATTGGAAGTAATTTATAGAATGGACATGGCAACGAATTTGTTAAATCAAAATGACTTTAAGATCGTCAAGGAGTTTAGTTAATATATTAACCTATATTTTTAAGAAATCAATGTAGAAGAAGCAGCCATTGTCTTTTTTCAGCCCATGTGTCATCAATAACATAATTAGTTGTATTATTATATTCTTACTGTTTCTGGCATTTCCTTTAGGCGCTACGAGGTACAGTTTAACCTACAGTAATAATAGTAATTATACAATCGTTTCTTCATAATCAGCTTGTATTCAAATACTATTAACGTCAATAAGATAGAGAATAGATTTTAGGTGACGAATGAAATACGCTAACGATGTAAGAAATTCAGTGGTTCCAAATAGACAAATCAGACATAAAATTGTTCATTTTAGAAACTGCTTGTTACTCCTATTATTTCATTAGTTTCGAAATAAATTCGTCGATATACAGAGTTTAATTAATTTCAATGCTTCAATATTAAATAGAAGGGTAAATAATTACTAGTAAGATAAATTGTATTGGTTATGGCATTTTTAACCGATATTGTTGGCATTTTTTTTTACGAGAGTTAGCTTGTATTTTTAGCTTAAAATCACTTAGCAGGAGGTTTATGAATAAATTAGGTTGGGTAAATAACGGTTAACTTCTCATTTTGGGTAATAATAGCCAGAGATTAAAATCGATACACTCAATACAATCTTTTATCATCATTGTATTGAAATAATGAAAAGGAGATAGAAAAGACAGCGTAGTATAGGAGAGTAAGAGATAAAGAATATACAGAACAACTTAGAATAGACCACAGTAAGAGTTATCAAAGGTTATTGTCCTAAAAAGAAGGTTAGAAGATGAGAAAAAATATTTATGAATTGATAAACGAGGAATAAACTTTTAAAATTTTCGATTGGATGCGTTTCCTACGCTCATATATCATTCCTAAATCTAATCAATTTATTTATATAAATGTATTTACAAATGTCGACGTTATGTCGCATTATAACAATAGTGACCTGAAAATCAGACGGCATTTATTTACTTAATATTACCATCATTAAGAAGTAGGTTATTTGTTACGTCTCAAAGGTTATATTACTTGTTTACTATATACAGATATACTTTATGCTAGCTAACCAATTCACAGCACCATGAGTAACAGAGATTGATAGATTAAATAATTGCAACGATTTTGACATTATACGCACATTTACACTCACGCTCATCAAGTGGTCTAACATCGAACGAATAGTTGCGATGTCTTCATATTTCAGAATGTATTTAATGTTTTTTGTTAAAACATTTGTAATAGATCATAACAATTAGAATCAGTCGGTATGATTTAATCAGTAACGTATTGCTATCTAGTATCCGACAGGATATTTTACCTGGCCGCAATCATAGACGTATAATTCCATCTATCTACAGTATACTTATTTTTGTATTTATTTAATCCTTGCTTAGTAAATTAACAATTAAAAGACCAGAAGCCAAGTAAAGAATACTAAATATTTAATATTAGTAGATAATCTTATCCTTTATTTCTGATTTAAAAGACTTATAGAATATTTTAAACATTTTATTAATTTATTCATAGCCCTACTCTCATAATCAATTTCTCTCGGATAACAAGAGTCTAAAATAGGTCAGATACGACTATTGAAACTGTAATTACTTTAATATCATTTCCATCTAGTACTTCCTTGCACGTTTTAATTACATCTGGTTACCGAGAGGCATTAGCTAAGCGCTATTACTATCTAATTTAATAATTAATCAATATATATTTTTTAAGTCGAAACGAAGATAAGACATTACATAATGGTAACAAAAAATGGGCTTAAATTCTTGGATAGATCGTCACTAATATCAGCGAAGGATATGCGCGTAAAGATATCAAAGTACTACGCGTTTTTACATTTAAACTAAGCAGTCTGTGATAAACATTGGAAAAAAGGGATGGTTCGAAAATTAGAATGTATATTATTATTCCATCCCACCCCTTCACAATACTACAACTACTTCAGCGATAATTAACGAATCTCAATTATTCTTATTCAATGAAAAAATGTGGAACATAAGTGTGAAATGTAAACCTTCATTCGTTTATTCCAAAGTCACAGCAGAATAAGAAATTCTATTTAAATACAAAATCCTATTGATCATAGTGGCCGAGAGTGGATAGCTTTTTACTCGGATTTACTATCGACATCCTTCCCTATATCCTCTTATTCGTGTATTTATCGATAACATGGTAAAGTTTTAATACATTTTAGGCTATTATAAATACGATTATATATTGAATAATAAATAACCATAGGCTTTATCAAAGTATATTCCCCCAAGCACATAAGTTCTCGTAATTACCATGCTTTATTTCTGTTACACCCTGTGGTCTATATGGGTATACAGTACTATCCATTATATCTATTCAATACAGCAGCGATCAGGAGTGATATTAAAAATCGTAGAAAATTTTACATTGTAACCCCACATTTGCCACTAAGTTAGTAGTTATTTTCTTATTAAGCTACAAGATACTTTACATTTCACATTACTAGATACAATTATAAAAATGAGTTGCAATGAATATAATTTAATGCAAATTTAGGCATCATTTTACATTTTCATAAGGATCATTTATACTAAAATTTATATTGATCTATCGAGTTTAAGAATTTGACGCATTTATCCGTTCAATTGTTCGATTGAATTAAAAAATCGAGATCCAAAAATAGCTATTAACAGTTAAGATCTTTCATTCAACTGATATGTGACTAGTCACATTGGCCATATTAACAATTAATTCAACTTCCTGCAGTGAAAGTGTTTTGTTATATTTTTGATTTTAATCTTAGTTATTTCCTTTCCCTTGTCTTAAAATGGTTGCTTTTCATTTCTCAAGTACAGAATTGTTTAAAATTAAGAAAAAAATCAAATTTTCTAAATGTATGCTAAGGAGGTCTATTATAGCCACTATTGAATCATTGGGGGGGGGGGGGGGGAGGCTTTCTCCGCTGTCATGAAAAATACTGGCAGCTATTAATAATCATCCATGTGTGGCACGCTTTGCAAAAAGTACAATGCCAGTATAAGAATTAAAAAATTAATACATAAGCAAGGATAGCTTAAGGTAGCCTTCGCCATGACACAAATTAAGAAATATCTGCTAGCTAAACAACGGCATCCTCATCATCGGCAACAAAATTCTAGTCGACAAAGCTTTCAACAACAGTAAATATTCCTCATAATTTTAATGCTACAACAATTGCTAAATTTTTTCATGTCCAATCAAATGTACAGTAGACTTCTTTTTATCACTAACTATTTCGTTCTATCTTAAAAAAGATTGATTATTATCGACTATATCATAAGACATTATATTATGTTGAAGTCATTTGAAGCTATAGACGAGTATTAATCCAAATGATTTTATAACTAAATACTTCATCACCTTAAACTACGTGCAAAAAACTAACACAGTACCGTCATGCTTCGATAATAAGCTATATAATTACATAATTTAAAATTTACTTTGTATACCGGGAATTGATCATCAATGACCTTCGTTCCATAGTTTACAGAATTTAATTTTTTTCTTACATCCTTTTTACAGGAACGAATATTCCATTCAAGTTGATAACTTACCACTATCAATCGAATTACAGGTACAAGGATCTAGGGCTCATATTTACGTACTTTTATATTGTAATCTACAGTAAAAGTAACAAAAATTATTACCATACTACTTGATTGATTTTATCTCAATCTTTCGAGTAGCGGCTATTCTTAAGAAATTAATCCTATTAAGTTACACACTAAATAATCAATTTTATGTTAATAGTAATTCATATTAACTGAAATTATATATTTGATAATGTATGATATGACATCTTCATCTCCTATTTCACATAGCGTTTCTATTAAAATATCTATTAGAGTTGCTTTTATTTTAGTTCAATAGCCCCGTCCAGTTATTATTAAGTTTAATTGATATTAAAGAAGATAATCATTTTATTGTCTATTCTAGAATGTGATCATAATATTGGCATTATCACCAATGTAATTCATTCACATTTAGACCTTATACACATTAAATTACATTTTTTCAACGTTAGGAAATTCAGAATTTATTTTCGCAATATGGTCTCATTGCCCAGGCAGACGTTATAGACGGTATGATAATCGTATATAAATAATCTACCTCTATGCACATATGTCCTTCAACTTTTAATTAATCAGTAGTGAATTCTTTTAATTATAATCAGACCATTGCTTAAGATTTATCACTTTCTAACTGATTGGATTTGACAATCAATATGTATTGATAACTATCTCGCAATGTAGTTTAAAAATGTTAGTTATAATAGAAAGCTTTGTAAAATGATTAAAATCCAAATCGCTGAATATGATTCTTAAGTAATATTGCATACAGGATAAAAAATTTCTGGGGCTAGTTAGATTAGTTGTAATAAGTAGCTTTAGATAAGTCAAAGTTTTAAATTTTAAAAGTGACAATTTCCCATTTCTTATGCATCATTTTTATAGTTAATGATGGTACAAAGAAACGAGCCATACTGCAGTTCGATTCCTATGATCAAGCAGAAAGGTTACACGTTTTTACGAGAATATCTGAAAAAGAGATTATAAAGATAGTGTTAGGATAAATTAACCTCGGTGTCTGTATCTAATAAGTATAATATTTTGATATATTAGAGCGGCCAAAGAACTCGACGGAATGATGATTCAAGATATGCGAATAAAGGTATGGGTAACAAAGCGAATTTGACCTGACTTTTTTGCTAAAAAAGCTGAGCAATGTTGTGTTCTAAAGTCTACCCTTAGCAACTTTGATAATATTCATAAATTTTACTTTCATTTAGGTTACACAACTCGAAGATACCGCTGTATCGTATTTGACCGATAAATTTTCCGGTATTAGAATGAGCCCACGAAATCTAACTCGCACCCCCAGCCATTGCGAATTTCCATTAAGGTATATTTTTGGAATATTTTGTATGCTTTCCTTGCAATAATCATTATTTGAAAGTAATATCGATTTACTAGGATATTTAAAGTTACACACTTTCGAAAAAATTCATAGTTGCATAGAATATTATGATTAAGTCTGCTGTTGATTTTTAAAACTAGAGACAATAAAACTGTAGTACTAAGAGTACTTGAGCTTTTCAAAGCTTCTGCAAGGCCTTATCCTGTAATATAGACTACTATCAAGTAGAATTTGATAGTAGGAAAAATTAACACATCTAATCAAAAATAATGAATTTTTTTATTTCTATTTTCAGGATTTTAGTTCCAACTGAAATGGTTGGAGCAATCATTGGTCGTGAAGGCAACACTATTAGAAGTATTACACAACAAACACAAGCTAGGTAAAATAATATACTACCAGTACTAATACTGATTACAGCAGATCTGGTGAACTACTTCAAGTAGGCCTTCAATAAGCAGAAACCTATCATAATTGATTCTTGTGAAACAACGTTTACAACCTCAATTAGGATAAAAGCACTTAAATTTCCTTACACGAATAGATAATATATATAATGAAATCCTATCTTATTCTGAGTCGATAATTTACTCCCATAGGGTGGATGTCCATCGTCGTGAAAGCTTGGGATCAGCTGAAAAGGTACAAAATTTATCAAAGAAGAATAAAATTAATTGATAACATTGTGAATTTTAAAGATTCTTTTATCTTGATACAAATCTACTTTGTTATTTTACTGACAAAACTATCTTATTTTAATACAATATAGGCCATCACAATACTTGGAACACCCGATAGTTGTACTTCTGCTGCTCTACAAATTGCTAAAATTATGCAATCAGAATTACTAAGCACCAATCCCCAACTGAAACTAAAAGTGTAAGTTTAAATAACTACGTTAATGCTTTTCGGTGGGACTATAATAGGAGAGATTAATGATTAATAGAATATTAGTTCTTAAACAAATTAATTGACTTTGATATCGATCTACTAAAGAATTGTTTAGCAATGATATATTATGTATATTAGCGATAGCGCAGTTTTATCGCATAATCATAAACATTATATATATATAGCCTCGGATTCATCTAAAAAATGAGGGGATCAATGTTAACGAAACACACAATAATCACATTAGGATAATCAATGAATAAAAATTTCGGCTTTATTTACAGCATCAATTTCAATTTACAAATCTAGGGAGCAAGGCCATCCTATTCCCAATATTCCATTAAAGATACTTGCTCACAACAATTTAATTGGAAGGCTGATCGGTAAGAATCCTTTTAAAGCGTTATTATAATTAGTTCGTCAGTGATGTAAATAAAATTAGACTATCATATTTACAGACGATATTTTAAGTTGAGTAAAAGAAAAAAAGTTTTAATTATCAATATTCTTTTAGGTAAAAATGGCAATGTCATCAAGAGTATTATGAATCAGACTAACTCCAAGATTACAATCTCTAAGTAAGAATTTACAAACGTTTACTTTCACAAGAGAAATAAATATGTAGCTAGAGTATTGAATATTCGAATTCGATATGCTTGTAAAATAAGATAAGGCCATGCATAAAATAATTATATTTGCATTTAGGGGTCTTAATAGATGCTTGTAACTAACGTAATATCAATTATTTGGTTTGATGATTAGATTGGAAGATTTGAAGAGTGGATATTCAGAGAGAACAATTACTGTTATTGGAACAGTTGAGAACTCATCAAGAGCTGAGGCTTTATTAAGTGCTAAACTTCGCTCTTATTATAAGCAAGATATGGCTAGTATGATTCCAGTACGTTAGAAAAAGTTTCTATATAATCCATTAAATTTTTCGGTGCTTCTAAAAAGACGATGATATATAATTAAATAATGTCTAATAAGTCTAAATATATTTATACGTATACTCCTTTCCCTTCAATCAAAAGCAACGGCAAGGCCAATCATCAGCTAATTCCAATTCTAATGGTAGCTCTTATCCCTTGTCCAATTCTACTACTAGTTCAGTCAGTGATAGCGGTAGCTTGATTGATAGTGCCGCAATATCACCTTTGGTACGGTGTAATTTCCTTTTTTGATATTGTCTTTTAATTAGCCCTTACGATTTATGAATAATTATGTTACTCACGCTATAATTTTCTATTATGCACACTATAGAGCATTCCTAATTCACCTTCTGGCCTATTTTCCAATAATTCGGTCTTTCTTGAAAATGATAATGTTCAGAGTGATGAGGTACTGTATCTTTATGCTTTACCGTTGAAATACTCGTATATGATTTCAAATATCTGCAACAAAACTTCGAATTTTTGGTTTAATCATTCCAACTAATTATATAATTATAACTTTTTTGAAATAGATTGAAACGACTGCTATTTATATACCTATCCAAACTTTTAATTATGTTATTGGCGCTAGAGGAAATCAACTTCCGGCATTGGAGCAAATTTCTGGCGCATCGTTGCAGGTATTATAGATAGAATCTACAAATAACTTATTGCTTTGGTGGAATTGATTACTTAACTCAGTTTCTCTCACGTTCAAGTTTATAATTTACTACAATAATATTGACTTGTCCTGTTCTCTTATTTTATCAAAACTTAGCGATGCAAATAAATTTCGATGAATTAATTTTGTCACTTTGTTTAAATTAATTTCAACCTACAGTTAGTACAGTCCATGTATAGTGGTGCCAATGAAAGAAAAGTTGTTGTTAATGGAAATGCTTCCTCACAATGGAAGGTAATAATTAAAAATGTCCTGCTTATGAATGGTGTTTTAGTTTAATGCATAGTGCATGGGTATACTACTTGCAAAAGGTCAGCGATAGTAACCTATGAAGATATAGAAGTCCCAAACTAGCAATGTTATGCTATCTGTATCCGTATTAATTTGCGTTACTATACTCGTATGACTATATTTTGACCACTTAGCGATTTGCATCTATTTTTTACGTCCTATTTTAATTTTTTATTAATGCATGACTGAACATGAATTTAATTATATTAACTAGGCTCAGCTATCCATATTTAATAAAGTTGGTGAAGGATTAACACCGAGCGAAGAGGTAATACATTTATCATTGCATAGTGTAAAGATTAAGAAAAAGAAAATAAGTCACACCTAAAGTGAGAAAGTATTTGTTAATAGTATGCTCTACTCACAAGGCTAATTTTTTTGTTAACGCCGAGTAATGCTTTGTTAATTGTAGCTAAGTTTAAGGACCGAAATTTTAGTACCCAGCCCCTTGGTTGGTCGTATTATTGGCAAAGGGGGCAGTACTGTCCGGCAATTACAATCGCAGACTGGCGCTATGATTGAGATTCCACGTGGAATGGCTGACGGAGATAAAGTATCCGTTCATATCAAGGGTACATTTCTAGCTAGTCAGGTAAGGTTGCCAAGATATCCAACTCCAAATTACATCTAGGATCTGAAAATGAACTGTAATAAAGAGTAAACTGATGGCAAATATTTGTCCCTTGTTAGGCTGCACAGCGACGAATTCGTTCCATTATTCGCCAATCAAGTCAAGCTCACATTGCCCCATTTGGAAATCATTATCCTAAATGGGCCTTTGACAAAATACCTCAAGAAACAAAACTCTTCTAGTCGAAAATATCCATTTTCTTTAATGAAAGTGAACGGAAATAGAGTAATCTCTAACGGCAAATTATCATCGCTTGATAAGAAATTCGTTGGAGAAATTATTCTTCATTGAAAATCCGGACATAATATGAACCCTTTACATTTCCATGGCTAAATCTATTTGTAAATCCAACTTCACTCAAACCAAAATCCTTGTTTTAGACTGAATAATAATCATTGCAAAGTGCAACATCCTTAATAACACTATCATTAATATAATGATTGATTTTAAAGCTGGCTGCATCGCGTAACACCTTCGCAAGATCAAGTTTTTTTTTTAATTAGTATATTTCCATAATAAATAATAACCCGGCAGTTAATCTTTTGAACAAAAGGCATATTTTATTCATAATTTGATCTTGTTGTAGTGAAGTTCATGATACTTTTATCAGACAGCATGTATTGGTTCAAACTCTTACATATTTAATGACGCAAAGTATATTATTTTCTTCGAAACTGTAAAAGAATTAGGGACTAAAGCAGTTAATTAGAGTAAATTAGTTGATTTTATTTGTGTTACACTTTGATCGCAAAAGTAAGTGTAAAAAACCTCCGGTATAAAATTTTAAGAATAGATCTGATAGCCATTGTGTATTAATGAATATTTTCCAAGAAATGTGAAATATACCAGCCTTAAGAGTGATCAAAAAGCAGTTTCATTTTTAAAAATAGGATTCATTAACTTTTTTTTCTTAGTTATTATTTTAGTTATTTTGCCACTCTATCAACTTGTTCTGTTTCTATCATCCACTTGTACATAGAAATGAATAACATTAACAATTTGAGTGCTCTCTAAATTCAATTTTGCTGCCATGACGAGTACGCTTGATGTAGTTGTGATACGAATTGGTATTACTTTGTTATGATTTAAAGATTTTGCAGTATATCTTTCCAACACCTTAGTTGATACCATGACTGCGTAACAATTAATTATTGTTATTGTGATTTTAATTATTGTACTAATTATTATTGTTATTAATATTATTCTTATTCTTCTTAATCTAATAATTGATATCATTATTCTCCATATTTCATCACCTAAAGATATCTCGCATCATATCTGCGTTTTATGTATACAGTTTTGAATGACACAAATCAAATAGCAATCGATTTGATAAATTGGTTGATAATTTGATCGATTCTTAATTTTAGCACCGTATTTATTATGGTCATTTATTGATGACTTCTACTGCTTCCCATAAATAAGTGTATGATTTATATAATTATGCATTCTAATCCATATGATTATTATCTACCGTATTTTATTCCCAATATCAATTTTATGTTTTTTGTTGATAGAATTAAGATATTATCAAAACTTAGATCATGATATCGCTTTAATTCATTTTAATTGGAAAGCAATAATTTTCTATCCACTCTGGATAGGATTCCGGTTTTGTGCTAAAGTAGTTCACATCTAACAGGACAGCCGTTATAGTTACTAAGTATTTTTCAAATAGCTGCTACATTATATTCCATATTAACGGATAGTTTCTTTTTTTTCAATGATGTTGTGATTTCTATCTATTTTCCAGTGCTGTGCTATTGATTTATCGTGTCGAATAGTCATATTTAAAACGATAAAAATGATTCTATCAATTGGAAATAAACTTAAATTATTATTATTCAAGGCTGCATTGTTTCCTGTTGTTAAATTGCACTTTTTTACATACGTTTGTGAAAATTAGTAGTTTTGCTAACTGTTGGCTGCAATTTTACAGACCTACTTTAGAACATTTGAATAGAGAGTAATGATATGGTGTACAACCGATCAATATGTCATGCCAATTTGCCATGTTGCGTCACTTTATAGTTTCTACCAGTAAGATTCCTTTAGCACTTTCCAATGAAAAGTAGCAGATATGGTGAACTGCTCTACAATACTGTATACGCTAAACACACGATGCCGATATGCAATATTGACCTATTCTACTGCATAGTCTCTATTTATCTGCAATTACTGGCACATTTTCCAATGAAGAATAGCGGATATAGCGCGCGTTGTGATGATGTGTTTGAAAGTTATGCTATAAAAGTGTCCTACGGCTACATTCATATATTACAGTAGTACAGTATACGTATATGCTAAATATACGATACCGACAAACAGCGTTGACTGATGACACAGCCTGCCTGTACTTGCAATTACTGTAGCATTTTCCAATATCAAATAGCGGAGCGTGTTCTAGTTGTATATTTGAAAAGCTATAAGTGCCCTACGGCTACGTCCATGTACTATAGTATACGCGTATATGCTAAATATGCGATACCAATAAATCATGTTGACTCATTCTACATTCTATACTTGTTATTATTGTGCTGTATTATTAAATAATAATGATAGCGAAAATATACTGTCGAGTTTAGTATATTTAAATGATATAGTTATACCGCAGTTAAAAAATAGACTTGTATATAGGATTACTGCAGGCCTACACTATGACTATCTGTGAGCGACGAGATCTTGATGTCAACATTCATTATTCTATGTCACAGTCTCACAGGTACAGGACTACAGATTGCAAATGATAAATTTTTTTGCCCTAGACTACATCATGTCAGTAGTGACGAGATAAAGAGAAACGTCTATGATAGTTTCATGGACTACTAGTAGTTTCAAGCAGTCTTTGGTAATTCCGGGTAATATGGTCGATTTTTTTTACCGCAGACTACACATGTCCGTAGGTACGAGATAAAAAAGAAATTTCTACGGTAGTATAGTACTGTGATGCTACAGTTTGCAAATGGTGGAAATTTTTTTGCTCTAGACTACATCATGTCAGTAGTTACGAGATAAAGAGAAACCTCTATAGAAGTCTCATGGACTACTAGTAATTTCAAGCAGTCTATGTACTACTGCGGCATTGCAGACGGTACCAATTTTTTGCCGTAGACTACTGATCATGTCCGTAGTTACGAGATAAAGAAACTTTTACGGTAGCATAGTACTGTGGTACTATAGATTGCAAATGGTCCAAATTTTTGCCGAAGACTACAGTACGTCATATCCTTAATTAGGAGATGAAAAAGAAACCTCTACGGTAGTATGGTACCATGGTATTATAGATTGCAAATGGTCCCAATTTTTGCCGCAGTCTACTGATCCTATCCGTAATGACGAGATAAAAAAGAAACCTCTATGGTAGTATGGTACTATGGTACCATGGTATTACAGTTTGCAAATGGTTGCCGCAGACTACATTCTATCCGCAATTACGAGGTACCATGGTGTTCCAGCTTGCAAATGGTCCCAATTTTTGCCGCAGACTACAGTACATCATATCCTTAATTAGGAGCTGAAAAAGAAACCTCTACGGTAGTATGGTACCATGGTATTATAGATGGCAAATGGTCCCAATTTTTACTGCAGATTACTGATCCTATCCGTAACGACGATATAAAAAAGAAACTTCTACGGTAGTATGGTGCTATGGTACCATGGTATTACAGTTAGCAAATGGTTGCCGCAAACTACATTCTATCCGCAATTACGAGGTACCATAGTATTCCAGCTAGCAAATGGTCCCAATTTTGGCCGCAGACTACTGATCCTATCTGTAATGACGAGATAAAAACGAAACCTGTGCGGTAGTATGGTATCATGGTATTCCAGCTTGGAAATGGTCCCAATTTTTAGCGCAGACTACTGATCCTATCCGTAATAACGTGATAAAAAAGAAACCTCTATGGTAGTATTACAGTTTGCAAATGGTCCAAATATTTGCCGCAGACTACATTCTATCCGCAATTACGAGGTACCATGGTGTTCCAGCTTGCAAATGGTCCCAATTTTGGCCGCAGACTACTGATCTTATCCGTAATGACGAGATAAAAACGAAACCTGTGCGGTAGTATGGTACCATGGTATTCCAGCTTGGAAATGGTCTCAATTTTTAGCGCAGACTACTGATCCTATCCGTAATAACCAGATAAAAAAGAAACCTCTACAATACGGTAGTATGGTACCATGGTATTACAGTATAGCTTGCAAATGGTCTCAATTTTTGCCGTAGACTTTTTTTTCATCTCCTTAATCATGAGATGAAAAAGAAAGCTCTTCGTTAGAACTGTATCATGAACTACCAGTAATTTCAAGTAGTCCATAGTGGTGGTTGTACTGTACAAGCATTAGTCAACACTTGATGCTTCGAGGTGGATTGTAGTACTAGAAAAGCTGCTGCGAGTACAGTGTACAGTGTACAGTACTGTGTACACTGCAGCCTGATTTGAAACACCATTTGCTGATAATACCTATGCGCAAACATGGCATTGCAAACATAATGTAACCTATGGGTTTGCACCACCAATTAACGATACAGTATCATGCTGTATCGCACAGTACAATACTGTAGTCCGCCACTAGCCTCATTTGCAGATGAAATTCTCTGTACGCAAGCGCAAGTTTACTTCAGTACTTTCCTCTCCATCGCCAGTCAACGGATTGTTGCGTCATTGGTTCATGCTATAGTAGTATTAATTACACTGGATATACAGTACAGTACAATACAGTCGACAGTAAAGCATACGAGTATACAGTATACGTACAGTATATAAATTGAAAACAATCCTGACTGGGACTTAGGTTAGGGCTGTCATCGAATGTCGATGAATAAAAAAGAAAATGGCTAGCAGAAAGTGCAGTCTTAAGATCCATCTAGGAAATTGACCAAAGAGCTGATGAATCAATAGGAGGTCAGAAATTTATTGTAGCAAGAGTATGGATTCGATTGGTAGTATCCTTACTTGAAATGAATCTTTTGATGTTGAGTAGATTGTTGCAAATGCTTAGTATCCAGTTTCAGTGGCAATCATTGATAGTGGGATAATAATATATTAACTGAATCGGTTGATACAATTGTTGAATTTGGATGACATTTTTTTGATACCATTCTCAATTACCTATTCAAAACATAAATCAAGGTAAAGGAAAGGTGCTTGTACTGGCTATAGCAGTGGTAGATTTAAATTGAAGCACTACGACTAGTAGATAACACGTGCTTACGAAGCTAAAATTATTATTACTGTACGTGATGACCATCAATAGGATGTAGACTACATCGTTAACAGTCAATCGAACTCACTTGTTCACTACTCTAGTCTTTCTATATATTGAAGATCAAAGTACGCTTAGCTTACTTGATTGATACTGCTATTGGATATGCTGAAAATTTCCTTTTCAATCGTTATGAAACGATGCAGGAAAGGGGCTTTGAGTTGCAATACTCGAATTCTATACATGGTTAATGGCTTTCATGAGTTATGCGTTTTGCCGGACAAAGCTATCTAAAAGGTAGACACCCTGCAGTGTCTACGCACCTTGAATAATTTAATGTTAGTTGAATTTACTAGAAATCGATTACGGATAATGCCTTCTACTAGATAAAACTCTATTTCTACTTTGGTTAACGGCTATAAAAATAGTTTACTTTATCTGTATATTGACTGACTATATACTGTAAATTGTGGCCAACACAATGGTTATAGACAACAATTAATGAAGCCCAATAGCGTAGTGACGTTGAGCGTTAAACCTCTTCACTTTTTGACTCATGCTTCTGTTCGACACTAAATAGTTGGTAGCGTTTACATTGGACAGCACACATATCAAGTAATGTATTAATGACCATATTGGGAGTGAATTAGGGTAATGAGTTCGAATTTTAGAGTTTTCAATACTTTAATTAACTACTAGCGACGCTTGTTTGTACTAGTGGTGTCCTAGACTCGTAGTACAGTGCAATATCCCAATCTAATTAATCCTTAATGCAGGTTAATGCGGTGTAGCAATCGATGTCTAGCAAAATAGGATACTTTACAGTCATATGTCTAATAGTCGACTGAATTTAGATATTTTAGACAGCCATTAGCTAGAAATGACCGAACTGACATATCCAACTAAGCAATTTTTTAAAATTCCCGTACGTGATTAAATAAACTTAGCATACGAGTATAAATGAATGAGGTTTATACTGTAAAGCTATATAGCAAAAATAGAACGAATTGCTTTTTTCTACTGTTTCAATGTAGCGCTATAAATGAATGAGGTTTATACTGTAAAGCTATATAGCAAAAATAGAACGAATTGCCTTTTTCGACTGTTTCAATGTAGCACTATAAATGAATGAGGTTTGTACTGTAAAGCTACATAGCAAACAGAGCAGAACGAATTACTTTTTGAAGTACAGTACTGCAAGTTCACTTGTAATCACGAACTCAAGACTGTACTATAATACACTTCTGGCCTAGGCTTGCTTAACTGTAAATTACTTTAAATTAACTTCCCACTTTCCTTTACATAGGGACATAGTACAGTTGGAAACATCGCTAACTATTGGAACAATTAATAACAAGAATACCGGATTCATTGTTAAAGTGAAAAACATCATCTGATTAAGTCGAGCGATATGTACAACTGTTACAGACGATTTAACAGCATGATTAATGGTTTTTCAAGTAACCCTAAGCGTTCAGCTAAATTACTTTTTGGTTTTTTTATTCTCAACGTAGTCTTTTTTCTATACAACGTCCAGACAATGTCAGCACCTGTTCGGGTAATTACGACTGAGAAACAAATCAATAATAATAATAAGTTAAATTGTTGCTCAATCGAGCAAAAAAGTGCTCCAACTAGTCCACGAAAAAATATATCGACGCTGACATCACGCTCTAGTAATAGTGTTCGAATCCAACAATTAACCGCTTTTTGCGTAGATACTACGGTAACGTACAACTTGGACGAAATTATTCCACCCAAACCTCCTATCGATTACTTGGACGAACAACACTCCTGCAAACCATGCGATCGCCGTCATTTACTCGTTCTAGTGATTAATTCAAGGCCAACAAATCATCAACGGCGTAAAAATATTCGCATGACTTGGGGCAATAATACAGCAATTAACAATTTAATTGGGACAACTAGCGCTTGGCGATTGGTTTTTGTTATTGGACGTAGTAATGTTACAAAGATTCAACAAGCAGTTGAAAAAGAAGCTAGTTACTACCAAGATTTAGTTATGGGTACCTTTACCGATAATTACGCCAATTTAACACTCAAAACTGTCTTTGCAATGAAATGGGCTCAACATTATTGTAAACCATTTTATTTATTTAAAGGAGACGACGATATATTCTTGAATGCACCTCGTTTAATGGAATATGTTGGCTATCAGTTATTGGGTAACAGTACCAATTTTTGGGTCGGTCGCGTGAACAAGCAACTTGGTCAGTTATTAGTTGTACGGAAAAAAGGTCATAAATATTACGTGCCCTATTCAGATTATGGCAAGCGCTTCTTCCCACCTTTTTGCTCTGGATTCGCTTATATTATGTCTGCAGATGTTGTAACTAAAATGCTATCTGTACAACCTTCGGTCAAACTGTTAAAAATGGTGGATGATGCATATCTTGGCATATTAGCGGAAAAAGTTAAGGTTAAACCAGTATACAATCATCGATTCCACGTATTTTATCCTGATAGGCGTGACTATAATTATACTGTACCATTCATAAACATGATTATTGCTGAGCATAATGTACTTAAATTATCCAAATTACAAATAATGATGGATCTTGCTTGGGGTGAGTTTAGAAGAAGATCTTCCTTAAGTGATAAAAAATTAAGCTTCGAAGCCCAACCTCTGACATGACACTATCAAGCCTGCGCATATGCGTCTACGTGAATGATATATATATATATAAGAATATATAGAATAACATAATATCTTGTATAACGTTATCGTGTTATATACGATATATAATTTTGATAATCTCAATATTATGTATGCAGTTTACTCGAGCCCTGCGGTTAATAGTCGGCTAACTCGAAAACTATCCAAATTGTCTTTATAATGTATGAAGTGCGAACTCGATACTTTTATATCAGTGCGACTATTATATACGTATGATGGTTACAATGATGGAAGATTTAGCTATATCAATTAAATGAACTAACGGTATCTACTCATGGGCTATGTATTATACATGAAGTTGGCCATATTTAGTACCCAATTACTATAGTAGGATAATCAGTAGATATGCATAAACTGTACTTATTACTCGTATACTTGTACGTATACGCCATAGACTTACGATTTACTGTTTAGTTAATTTCTAGGACTAATTTCATTTCTTATCGAATAATACTACATATTTTTGTTACTATATGGTTAGTTTCTTTACCGAGACCTAATACCCTAATATTGTTTATCTCTATTAATAGAATTCATACTATTATCACAAAGTATATTACAAAAATCTTAAAAAGACTCTTGTGCTAATCAAACGATTTGATATAAGACTTCTTTCATCATGCTTGATAAGGAATATTTATAACATAGCAGTTTACACCGAAACAAATAAAGATTCTATGATGCATCGTTTTGTAGGGTTTTTCTTGCATTGCTTTGCGACAACATCTTTAACGAAAATGTTGTCCTCATTCAAGTCACAGTAATACAATTGTAGCAAAAATTTTAAATAGCTAGCTTTGATTTTACAATTGGTAAGTAGTGGACTGTTGATCTTAATTTGCAGTTGAGGGTTACACCGACTGAAAAGGTGAGCATTTTCAAATAATCTGCGCTCCAAGGATTTAGCAATTAGCTTCAGCAATCCGGTACTTTCTCGTTTTATGTTTAACTGCAAGTTCATAGGGATACTGTACTATTGCGAGAATTTAATAGAATAAAAAAACACTTAATGCTTCTTTAGCGTCCATTTTTAACATCAAGTTGTTAAAAATTTGATGAAATATTACAATCGATCTAGAATAGTCGATGCAATATAAGGTACATTACTGTTACAATTATGATCTGTAACAATACGTAATTGACAATTCCGCTATTAATCAAATTTATTTTAAATGTAGTTTTCTTTAGCATAGCTTCTTAATTAATACAGTAAAAAGTAAATAAAAACTTCATTTTTTCGCTCTGTGGAAGGACAAAACTGCAATCATTTTTCACTAACTATTGTGATCGACCGGACAATAGTAGTTTAATAACGTCACTCACTCGAAAACGGTCATATACATATACATCTTATTACTTCCTTTTTTATTTTCGTACGGAATTTTATTAATAATTTATAATTATAGCTATTATTTTATTATATACGCACATAATAATTTGATTATGTAATCTTACAGTAGTCAAGGCTGGATTTGTACGTACTCGACTACATGAGTTTAATAATTATCTAAACGATTAATAAAAGAGGGTAGAGGATGAAATACCAGATTTAGTCTATATGGACGTAAGTACGTCGCTGATAAGTGCGATACGGTTAAAAGAAAACTTTAAATTCTACAATTTCGGTTCTGCAGTAATAAAAGTTAAAATATCCTTACAGTGGTATTAAAGCTTTCTTAATATACATGTGTAGGTATGATTTACGCGAGACCTAAACCGAGAGTAGTAAAAATTATAGTAACTATACGTATTTTACTCGAATGTAGTGTTATAAGTGGATCTCTACTATCGTTCTATGGTGACAATCGAAGTCAGTAACCATATTTATATGCCTTTCATTAAATCATAAAGCTTTTAAATCAAACTCTCTACGAGAACTTAAAAAAGACAAGAAATTTATTGATATAAATAGCTACTTTTGAGCAAATATCCAGAGACAATATTAAAACAAATTACTGAGGTGTAGAAACAAATATGTCAATAAACAATGATTAATAAATGTTTACAAAAGAAAATTAAATATTAATCCATGATAGGATTGTTATTTCTTTTCTAAGATTTACGATGATACAAGGGCTATCTTGTGATTTAATATGTTAGCTTTTCTGAAAATATCGTAATTTATTAATATTGGAATAGTGGATAATCGAAGTTCGAGGTATCCGAAAATTGGATAGTACAATATTTACGAACGGACTGGATATCACCTCTTAAACCTAAAATTTAGATATAGTTATGTATTGTTATCGGTACAGGATATCTTAGAGGGTAAAATAGTATTATAGATCAATTGAGGATCGCAACTGTGCTTTGTACGATTGAATGTCATCTTTCCAAACTGTTACGGTTTCATTTTTACAAACCCATATCTCTTTCGCGGTCTAAAAACGTAAATAAAAGCATTAAAGTTTTAATAGACATGTACATGGCAAATAAATACCTAAATAATTATTTGATAAATTCTGATTAAAATAATATAATCTACCTGATTTATCAATCGGAAATCGTGACTCACTAGCACCAACCCTCCTTCGAAATCATTAATAGCAGCTGCTAGGGCATCAATTGTTTCTAAATCTAAGTGATTAGTAGGTTCATCTAGTAATAACATATGTGGTCTACTCCATGAAAGCCAAGCAAATATAATGCGACAGCGCTGGCCATCTGAAAGATTTTTTATCGGACACATCTGTAAAGTACAGGTGCAAATGATTCAATAGACTTAAAACCGCACGATACCATTTATTACGCTTGATGCATGTAAGCACTAATCTACTATACCTGTTGTTTCCCAGTTAAACCGTATCGTCCAAGAGCTCTTCGCATTTCTTCTACTTCCTTGATTTCAGGGAAGCATTTCATTAAAAATTTAACTGCTGATAAGTCTAGATCCAAATGGTCTTTTAAATGCTACAAAATGGTACAAGGTTATTCTCTTAGTATCGCTTGCAGCAACATCACGCATTAGCAGTACTACTGTACCTACTAGTAATTTATTACAAATAAGACATAGATGACCCACAAAAAAATCTACGATTTACACAATAACACCATATTTAAGATTTTTTTCACTTATTAGTTAATATCAATAAGGGATAATGAAACGGTTAACCGCTTCAAGAGATCTTACTTGGTGATATCTACCAATTCGCAAATGGCCATGTTTCCTAATTAAGCCTTCTGTTGGTGATAACTGGTCAAGATAGTAAACATAGTATCAAGACTTTGTTTCGCTTAACTATCACAATCTTTCAATAAAACTGGAATCGGATAAGAAATTGATTTGATTTTATACCAATAGAGCGTTACCTCTCCATCTAACAGTTTCAGTAAGGTAGATTTACCAGCACCATTCGGGCCAACCAAAGCTACTCGAGATTCCAGGTCTAGCCCAAATTCCAGATCTTTATAAATGTAGGGCTTAATTGAGCGAATATGGAACATTAAAGTTAAGTCATTAAATCCAAACACAGTACATTGTCTTATATGACAACAGTCAATTTATGACATGATATAATTCGGGGATTTACCTTTCCATCGGAATATCGAAATGAAACTTGTTGAACCATAAGCACAGGTGGAGCAAGTTTGCCACATTCAGGAAAGTAGAATGAAAGTAACTACGAATAAAAGTTGATGTTTAAAATTGATTAAAAACGAAGGCACAATAGTTAATAAAAATAAAAGCATTTACTCTACTATATATGCATGTCGGAAAGATTAAGTAACAGCTAACAGTAAATATCTAATTCTGAATACTAGTTGAAGTGAAGGGATTACCTTATCTTGAATAACTTTTTCTGTTAACCCACCAGCTACCATTTTCGCTAAAACTTTTTCTTTACTCTGAGCTTGCCTAGCAAGTTTAGCACTACCGTGGCCAAATCGAGCTATATAATCCTTAAAAGGACATAAAAAACACCCAATTCAATTTAATTTTCAGCTTCTAAGACAGCCGATTTCCTGATAGTAGGAGAAATTGCTTTAGACAGTAATATCAAACCTTCATATGAGCTATTTGATCTTGTTCCCAGTTATATCGTTTCATTTGATTTTCTTCTAATTCAGCTCTGGTACGCACATAGGTATCGTAATTTCCCTATAAATATAATATATTTTATGAAAAGCTTACTATAATTTACTGTAGCATTTTGATAGAAAATTGGGTTCAAAAAATTTGTGAAATATCTTTACGCGCTTATATAATGGATAATTACCGAGTAACTAATCAATTGATTTTCATGCATGTGAATAATGTTTGTGCATACTCCATTAAGAAAATCTTGAGAATGTGAAATAATCACTAGAATTCGTTTATACCTGAATACAAACAAGACAACTCGTCACAGTAAAGTAAGACAGAATTAGTTTAAAGAAAGCAGAAGTTGCTATACTTCTTTAGTTCTTCTTCCAACCATACACATGCTTCCAAATCTAAATGATTAGTAGGTTCATCTAATAGCATAAGCATTGGGCTGACAAATAAAACTCGGGCGAGTGAAATTCTCATCCTCCAACCGCCGGAGAAATCTTCAGTCTTGGTTTTCATCATATCGCTCGTAAATCCTAACCCATGTAGTATTCTTGAGGCTCTCACCTACAATATTTATTAGCAATGAATCAATACGCAATAATATTATCGCATCTATTCAAATACTGTGGTATAACGTAAAAGGTTACCACATTGTCGAAGGATATATACTTTGCTAACCTTCGCAACAATTTCGAATAATGTCAATTAGGTAGTATATTATACTCTTAACAAAAATACGTATAGAAATTTTCCATGGCGAGGATCGAATGTGCAGATAAAAAAATTTTCTATTTTTGCAGTAAAATATAATAGTACACTATGGCATTAACTGTAGATTGAATACAATTTGCATTCATTTATTACATAGATATGAATGCTCAGGAGATATGTGTTGAGTTAGTATGGCATAAAATAATTTACGTAATCTTTTACCTCAGCCTTATCAGCATCTAATTCATCTAAACGTTCATAAATTTCGGTTATGCGATCATGAGCACTGTCATTTCCCTTTTGTAGTTCAGCAGTTAATCTTTCTGCCTCTTGTTCAAGCCTAATCCTCTCCTCGTCAACTTCCATAACAGCTTCAATAGCGGTTTTTTGGCTTTTACCCATCTCTTCCGATAAGTGATAGATATCAATATGATCCGGTATTGGAATATCTCGATATGTTAGACATTCTAATAGTGTTGATTTACCTATAAAAGTGTATTTCAATATTATAATCATTCTATATGATGCGTGGAGATGGAGATTTTCTAGCATTGCAATATTGCTAACTCTACCTACTGTATACTATAACATACATTCGTAGGTATCATACATAAATTGTTCAATCCATTGCTAAAGGACAACGAATAGTCAACTGTCAATAATGGATAATCAATTTATAGCTTGCACAGGGAATAATAGTACGTCAACTTTGTCAAATTCAGAGCTTCAAGTGATATCAAATCACTAAGTTTGTAGCCATCAGGCAGCACAGTAGCTCTAGTCTCCGGTACAATCTACACCAGTTGCATTTACTGTACAGTACAGGATGTAACTACAGTATAAACTTTACAAGTACATTATCGTATCTTTGTTCTATCAACCATTCAAAGTATCATACCCTATCAAACCTGTCACGCTTAACGAGGGATTCTTACTTGATTTCAACACTGAAACGTTATTACAAAACCGCAATTGAATTTATCGTTAGTCATTGCTAATTGCGCTGACTGATGACGGTACTCGTACATGCAGTACAGAACGGACTATTAAAAATGGCTGACAGTATGTAGTGATGCACCCTATATTTGCTTGTAGCGATAGCTATATTTGATTGTGTTGTGTACTATATTTAGAATAGTTAAGTTTCTAAAAATAGATATTCTTGTGCAGCTAGATTTAGGTGACTGGTAACTACTATATTAGAAAGTGTTATTCACTAATATAGCTGTTAACTAATTATGGTACAGGACGTTATACGACTTGAAATACTAAGATTGTAAAGATGCCCAATACCTTACGGTGTTGGACATTAATGGTAAAGTAATAATATTGTAAGCAGTTTGATTAATACTGTAAAATGTAGTGATGATTCATGTCTGATTGTAGACGATGTTATTGCCTTAAATAGATTCAGAGAAAAGTATATAAGGTGTACAAATCTGAGCGTAAAGGAGGGAAAAAGATTTGATATCTAATTGAGCTCAGATTACTTTAGACTAGATTCTTGTGAGTAATTAATTATTGCTGTACTATTCTTTAGAACCTTGTAATAAAAAGCTTTCATAGTACTGGATTCCTCTGTGGACTAAAATTACTGTGAAAACGATATTACACAGTAACACACACGAAATGGTTAATATCTAAACACGACCTTAAGTTATCCTAACCTCATTTTCAATATTGTCTACAGTATATTGCAGCAGAGTAGTACAGTATTGCAATATCACGTCAAAGTGAATGAGACTTTTTGAATAACAGTCGATATTCTACAGTACTTTGATGCAAAAAAGCGATGGCAGTATTCATAGACTATAGTGACAGGCCAGCCAACTCGATTCATGCAGACTATTTCATACTGTCGGTACGATTACGATCACGTGTACGCGTACGTACCGTCCATTATTCACAGTGGTGTGACAATGTCGTGATCGAATCAATGAAAAATCGCTTCATGCTGTTGTGTGCTTCTACTGTGCTGTACAGTAGTACACTAGTAGTGTGGACTATTCAGCTATGCAGGGAGTTGACTCCCGTATGGCCTCCGGCTCCAGTACTGTATACGGTATCATGGTATGTGCAGTATGTAGTCCCACTACGTATTGAATGAAGTCGTGAAGGCGATAGTGAAAATTGAAAGATGGATTTTTAAACTTTCGATTATCATTCCCGGCAACACCATTCAAGTACTTAATCCATTACCAAAAATGATAGAAATTACTTACCGCAACCATTTAAGCCAACTAACCCATATCTTCTACCATAATTAAGTTCTAATTTTGTATCAGTCAATAATTCCGCTCCATGAAAGGTCAGAGAAAAATTGGAGATATGGATATCACGGGATTGAGCGTGGCTATCTAAGACCCCGGTAGACGACCAACCTTTATCGATTGTAGACTGTTTTAAAGAATCAGAGCCGTTCGTCGACTTGGCTGCACCTTTCGATCTGGCCTTGGCTTGTTGCTTCTTTTTGGCTTGTCGTTTTTTAGCCGATTCAGAGGGCATGGTTGCTATCGTTAAGTTACTGATGAAAGAGTGATTTTTATCCGACTAATAATAATTGTACGAGTATAACGTTAGAAGAGAGAAAAATATTTTCTTGTACGGTCTATCTTGATAGATAATCGTCAATAATGACAGTCAAGAGATAGTACTAATACTTGGTTGGTAGGGTTCAATTCCTTATTAAGATAAAGTAGAGCAGAAAGGATGAAATCACTAGAGCACATTAACTTTTTAGACCATTGGTTCCTCCAATTAATTAATGCTGCAGTACGAAGACTCCCTCCAGACCCTGACCACAAATTCTCGTACAGTACACAGTATGTAATTTTAGGGTTTGTACAGTACTGTACAGCAGACTGAATGAAATAACTGATCCTTCATACTGAGTACTGTACTGAACAATTGTACAGTACCGTATATAATAAGTTTATCCACGTGTGAGTTGCACATTCTTCATTACCGCCCACCTTGCTACACTGTACAGTACTGTATGTACGTACACTTGTACAGTCTACTGTACACTGTACTATACTGTACTGTACTATACTGTACAGTACACTACGTCAAGGTAAAAGGGAAAATTCTTAGGCCGGGCCGGCACATTCTTCATTACCCGCCACCGTGCTACAGTACAGTGTATTGTACTGTACACTGTACTGTACAGTGCACGATTGTACAGTATGTGTACAGTACAGTACTGTACTGTAAAAGGGAAATTCTTAGGCCGGACCGGCACTTGCCACCGTGCGATAGTACTGTACTGTACAGTGTATTGTACTGTACACTATACTGTATGTACTGTATAAGGGAAAATTCTTAGGCCGAGCCGGCACTTGCCACAGTGTACAGTGTACAATACGTATCAAAAAGACTGTTATAGACTGTACTGTACAGTACCGTAATATTTGCTTGGAGGTTAAAGATCATCCGTGAGATTCGATGAAATAAACTTGTATTGTATAATCAAGCAACTCAAATATTTCATCGTATCGGCTACAATTTCTTTGACCGTAATCTCGATGGAATGATGCTATCTCGTATTTCGTGTAGCCATTATTGTCTAGCTAAAAATACCGAAACTGAACATTCACAAACTGCATACGCCTTATTGTAAGTATCTTGGTTACGAACTATAGAAAAAACTTCAATTTCCAGATCACTACTCAACAACTCGTCGCTAATCGCTGACGGCCTAAGTGCATATGAAGAATATTGCATAAAACATGTTATATAAAATATGCGCACGATAATGAAGTAGTTCATTTTGAATCACCGTAAAGTGCAGCTTCGATAAAGATGTTAAGACATTGTACATATACATCAACATGCTTCATTACTTATGGTACAAAACCATTGCACATACCACACATGTACACTTGTACAGTACTGTATATTATACATACTGTAGACGCACATAAAATATCATGTCCATCGATAATCTTTAGTAATGTTAATAAATGAAATTACTTTTCATAACAATGATATACCCTCTATAGTGTATATCGTTGTGTTTCCACTCTTAGTCGTTAACGTTAACACGAGGAACTTTGATACACTCCTACTAGTAAGCTTACTGAAAAAGTCCCTTTTATTTAGGATTTACTGCATTTAAATAGTATAGCTGTAATGGCGTATTATACCCTTATCTTAGTAATTCATTACCTTATCTTATGCTAACACGTTAGGTGCAGTACAACAAGTCACTGTATTCTTACATACATAACATATATTATATATATACTGTACTGTAGACGCACATAAAATATCATGTCTATCGATAATCTTTAGTAATATTAATAAATGAAATTACTTTTCATAACAATGATATAATTATTAATATTAATACCTCGAGTAATCAATCTACCTCAAAGGTTTTACTAGTAAATGTATGAGTGGACAAGAATCAAATCTGACCCAGCAAAGAGATCCAGCTGGAATAGACTGTACTACACAATTTATTCGCGACAACGTACAGCCATGGACTACTAGATGCGCGATATATCTACTAGCCCATGGTACAGCTAAGGTACACGAGATTGTCTGGTATTCAGAAATACGCACTCGAATAGCATAATAATCTTATTTGGATAGCGTAATGAGTAGGCTTTGGATCCCTTAGAAGATTCGCAATCGACTAACTCGAAGTTTGAGCTATTAAAATTGTTAATGCGACACTACACGAATAGTACAAGTATACCGTTTCATCACACCAGCTATCATCTACAACTACTTTATTAAGCGTAACCGACTAATCTACGTCGCACCGTGCTTACTTAAATTACTGTAAAACTTTCGCTGCTCATTAATACTGTTATTAGCTGTAACGACTACAGATAGTTATCAAATTACTATCTTTCTTATTATTTAACACATAAGAGGAATAGCCATAATGATAGCGAAATAATATTTCCTTTCCACATCCAAAGGGTTACCACATGTGCTTTGTGTTTCCTCCACTCTTCCCCTTTCCTTCGGGTACTAAGGTGAACAACTTGCTTGGTTTGAATTGTGTGGGACTCTCATATTCATAAAACATATCTGTTTCAACGTAGAGCAGTATAGTAAAGTCATTTCTTAAGGGTCAATAATAAATCAGTCTAACTGGATTTAAAGCCTGAATTAAGCTTTATTACAATAAAACCAACCTTAACTGTATTTACAACAGACTATATATATATATATAACATATACCCAACTGTACAGTTACACTATTGCACTGTACACGCACACTATTCTAAAATTAAGAACGTTGGCTTTGTTTGGCTTTTCTACCGAACATAATAACTATACTGCTATTTATTTAAAAGTCTATTCGTTTCTATTTTCAGATTCATATAGCTTATAATACAATTAAAATCTTAACCCTAACCCTAACTTTAAATTAATCCCATAAAAGTGATCTTAAATATTTACGATGTCTTTTGTAAGACATTTATAGTACTGATTAGCATATGTGTAGATTCTTCCAGCGTGCCCACGCGATCGACCTACTCGATAACAATCGTTTATCTCAAATTAGTAGCAATAATGCCATGTATACTGTATTTCCATCACAATGCTACTCATAGATTCCTGGTAAAATGTGCAGCCTTTGAGCATTATGATAAATAAACTTGCTTACTTAGTCAAGATGGAATAATAAATTCAATCTCTAGAGTCAACTAATTTATCAAAATTTGCAAAGTTACCTTCTGAGTCTACTATAGTGTACGTATACATTAGTAGTAGGGGAGCGGATAAACACCGGTAATAATTTTATCAGCTTTTTTAGTAAAAATAGTATGAGTAGATACGGTTAAAACTATTTCGAGAAAAATTTCAACTCACCATTGTAACCTTTCATTATTATTTATTTATATGAACTGTACTTCGAATTCATAAATTGTTGAAAAAATAACAAAGTTTATCTCTACCATCTAGTGTATCTTTAAATCTCTCTAAATGATTGCATCAACAACTTCTAAATTATGCTGCTTCCTGCACATTACCGTTCTGTGTACTTTGTGCAAGTGTATGACGCAACACGTACAGATACTCCAATCATGAGAAACAAGGGAGATGTAAATCCAATTAATTACAAATTAATACGTAAATTGATTTTATTGTGGTACCCTATAACATGTGTATGAGTATGTCTTCATTTTGCAAAATAAAAGCTTGATCATCAAGCAGATTATTATATCACTAATACATATGGTACTTACTTCTATCTTTTATTGAGATTAACTACTATACAATTCTACATTTTAATAACTTGACTCAATTACTCTTTACATTTTTCATTACTAAATTGATATCAATATTTCTCTCCTTCTCCGTACTCTTCCTCTTATGTATCTTATTAGAGTATTAGTTAGGTATCGGATTATCCTTTAGAATGACTGAAATGACGTCAAACTTTAATCTCCTTTCAATCAATGGCTTAAGTTTAAAAAAATTGCCTAGATGTTATTGTGTTCCCGATAAAAAAAAATAATTGCTTTTGTTCAACATGTCAAGATTTCAATTCAATATTAATTAAAGATTTTTAATTTAATTTTTAATTTAATTTTGACAGCGCTTTAAAACAACATCATAAAATCACATTATTAAACTTTTGTAAGATAAGAATTATAATTAAAAAGAAATCTACAGAAGATTATTTTGAGACTGATGACTTTAAGATATCGAGAATTGTCCGTATTACTGTTGCAGTTTGAATAGTCCAATGTAATTCTATCTTTAACGGTTGCCATTTAGTATATAGGATTGCGGAAAATCAACCGTTATCCAATATTTATGATAATAAAAAATTTAACATCATCAGTACCGAAAGTATTGATATATTCGATGCTCTTATAAGGGTATACTTTCAAGCCAGACAGCTGCTCAAACCGATGCTAAACCGGAATTGACACAATATTGCACTATAGCAGAAGATATACACTTTGAATAGAAATTGGTAGATCTTGAGAAAAGCAAAATTATTAAACGCGAAGAATAAATAAAAAACAATTTTTTAAAAGCGGTCAATTATTACCTTAATAAGAAAGCACGGTCAAAAGTTCGCTTTAGCTAAAATTAACGGATACGTTCAAAGCAAGACAATACCGCGTTACAGAGTAAAAGGGTTACACCTTGATAATCTAGGAAAAGTCAAATTTATAAATAGCATTGTTTTATTGATGATGTTGGCTATTCCGAATCTGCATATGATATCTTTGATTGGATGTTACAAGATCTACTAATAACTAACCAGATGGAATTAAAATTTTTATTGTATATCTATTAATTGGCGCAAATCAAAAGAATTTTCCGCTCGTTGATTTTAAACTAAAGTAGAAACTAGCTGCTTGATTGTATTTACTTTTATCTCGAAAGCTTATTTCTACTTATGCCTATCTATCCTTTCTCGGACATTATATGTACTCGTATAATGATAAATTGGATCATTATTTTCGTTATTGCGTGATCATATTACTCTAAATTTGGTGTACTTAATTTTCTAGCTCAGCGGCATT